CCGCGAGGTGGAGAGGGCGTGGTCGTCCACTTTGTCTGAACGTGACGTCGGCTGCGCTTCTAATAGGCTGTTTTCGTTTTGTGATCGTAAGCATGTCCTTGTTCAGCATGCTCAGTGCCAGGCGTTCAAATTGGAAGAAAACCAACGAAAAACGCATTTCATGAAAGCATTCTCACTATTTTCAAATGAAGTGCGCAGCCACGCCCTCCCGTCCTCCGGGGATACTGATCATATATTCCACATGTTTATGGAAGCCTCCAAAAAGGCTACCTATGTTTCACCTAAGCAACCGATGAAAAGACAACACGGCATATCATCCATAAATACTGTGAAATCAGTTGAGCATCACTTGCATTTCTTGGTGGTCATTTTTAGAAATTTCACTGGAAGGGTGAGGCTTTGGAAGTTAGCTCATCCTCTTTGAGATTTGGCATGCCTTTTACTTCTATTCAGAACTGAAGTGATTTATCAAATGCGTTGGAGCCTATACTATGACTTGCGGGGCCAACCGATGTACAAGGCAGTGTTCTCTCTCTGACGAATTTGCTACCCATCGACCGTCTCCGGAAGATACAAGGCTTCATTGGCCTGCCCGGGAGCTGATCCGGGATCTGAGTCCCTGGGCCACTTGCCACCACAACACTCCGCTTTGTGCTTATCTTGTAGGGTTTAATGCCGCAAACCGCAGACAAAACAAAGCCACTCACCTTCCGCGGTGATTTCGCATACCGGTCTCCTGGGAATTCGACGAAAAGCGTCCAGTAACCCTTCCGTCGCACCTAAACAACAGATTTGTGCTGCAGTGAGGCAGTTTATCCTTGAAATGACCCACTTCAAATGTGTGCTCGAACGTGTTGCCAGCAGTGACGTTAAAATCGGCAGTGTTGTCGACGCCTACCAACCGGAAGAATGTGGCGTCGGTAACGTTGTGATTTCTATAAAATGCATGGGTGAGGGCATGGAGATGCCTGAGCGGTTTGCTATTCCCGATGGAATATTTACCGGATGAATAGTGTGAGATCGTATCGCCGTCCTTTATAAGGATGCCATTTGCGATTGAGTGCGAGCTCAGAGCAGCACACCAGCATCAGAAAACACTGGAGGAGAGCCCTTTTTAGCATCAGACAGTCAGTGCATATGCGGAATCTGAAAACATTTTTTAGTGATTTTGAGTTTTTTTGGTGGCGTATTCCAAAGGGAAATACGTGCAACAGGTGAGACAT